ACGGGGAAAGCTTCAGGGCTTTTGGAGAAGACAGGAGAATTGAGGGGATGGGCAGAGGGTGCTGATGGGGTCTGACAGCCAGCACAGTGCTGCAGTGGTATCAAATGTGACAAAAAAATGTCAAGGACAGCTCATGCAGATTCTCCTGTCAGGAAGCAGCTTGCCCGGGTAGCTTGCCCTTGTCTGCCATGGTTGTAGAAATGACCCTACATCCAACCAGGCACCACTCAACTGAGCCATGTGCTGGAAGATGCTCTGCCCAGGGCACAGCCAGACTGGCTCTGCACCTGCTGGGCCCTGTGTCATGGCTGGTCTCTGGGTCCTGGTGAGACTGAGGGGCAAGTCTGCCATGTCTGTGGGATCACTCAGCTCCTAAGTCCTTTGGAGCCAGAGGGATGCATCAGATCCACAGGCACTTACCTACCATCCGGTCCTTGGGAATGCCACCAGCAACTAACCTCCAAGCCTTGTGGTTTGTGTCTCCTCACGCTTCTGCCCCAGGGAAAGCCAGGTCAAAAGGAAACAGCATGGGGACTTCCCACAGGCAAGCAAACCTGCAGCAGAAAATGGCTTGGGCCACTTTGCATCCTGCTGATTTGAGTGGGTCCTGCCCTGATCACGTTTGCATGGGCGCAAACAGGCTGCAGCTGTTGGGGACTTGGAGTGCCCTATTGCTGTTTTGAAGAAGGGTTGCTTTTTCCATCTCCTCATCTAGATCAGAGGAGGGGTGCCTCCTATCTAGTGATTTATAGCTGATTTATTCTCCTATTTAGTAATTTATAGCTGACATCCCCCTGACAATAAACCCTCAGTCTGTCTGCTATTGCAGGGCAAAAGCAGCAGATTGTTTGTCCTTGTAGAGATAAAATCTGTAGGGCAGTTCACTGGTGTGGAGTATTAACTGAGGCCTGAGTACACAAGGCAGATGTGCCAAAGCTCCCAGCATTTTTCATGCGCTGTCAGAGGCTTTTGGGCTGATGCGTGGGCACTTGGTGTTTGAGGCAACAAGGATTGTGGCAGGTTTGGGTGAAATGGTATAGTGGGAGGTGTCCCTGCCCATGGCAGGGGGGGCTGGAACTGGATGATCTTAAGGTCCTTTCCAACCCCAACCATTCTGTGATTCTATGTGCTACAGCTGCCTGCAGCCCGGTGTGAAGGAGCAGGGTTGAGAAAGGGAGGTGCTTCAGCCCAGCCTGGGTCAAATCCGCTCCTCTGTCTCCATTACACCCTGCACCAAGCACAGCGCTGCCGAAAAGCCCTCAGAGATGCTCTGCTGGAAGCGAGTTGTATACGAGCTGCTCTGCTGACAGCCCACCAGGAGCTGCATTTTATCTGGATGCCTTGGAGGACAGGGTGATGATTTGGGACACGCTTGCTGAAACGTGCTGCCACGGCCCTGGGTTTAAAGTAATGCCTGGGTCGATGTGAAGCGTAGCCACGAGAAGCCAGCACAGGTGGGTCTGAACAGCCCCCTACGCTCAGGTACTCCCTTCCCCCCCAGGATGTCCCAGGCTCAGCAAGGCACTGCCCTGGAGCTCAGGCTGCTCACGTGCTTTTGCAGCTGAGGGGTTGGAAAGTGCTGGAAATGAACATTTTCCCCTCCTCCACCTCCTTAACCAACCTTGCATAATTTTCCCTTTAGCCTCCCTAGACAGGTTCGTTACAATTCCCCTCCATTAATATGCAAATATGCCCTAGAGGAAAAGAGAGCCTGGATTTATTAACATGAATCTGTTAACTCTGTCACTGCTGCACTGCCCTTTGTAGACAGGAGGATGCTTCCCCCAGCCTAGAAAGCTGGGAGAAAGACACTACGAAAGGAGAACCACAACGTGCAGCATGAAGACAGAAAGGAGCAATGACCCCGCAGCACCCCGGCAAGGCTGGGTTCTGTGGGTAAGTGCAGACTTGCGAGTTGTTAAGACCTTGATTCTGCCTTTCACTTCTGCCACAGGCTTCCTGCACATGCCAGGGCAAACCACTCAACCCTTCGGCTAACCGCTGGGAGCTGCTGGGGGAAGGTGCCAGCATCCTTACGCTGCAACCTCTGCCACGTGCTGAGAGCGGCAGGGACACAGCTCAGCACAGCCAGCTGACCAGGAGGACGGGGGGGAATCGAGCTCGTGGGATAACTCCTGCAAAGCAAAACCCTGGCCCGTCTCCAGCCCAGGTGGTACAGAGGGAGGCACATCTGCCCTGTGGCTGAGGCCTGTGTCATGATGCAGCATGCCAGAGCCCCACGTGTGAGCGCTGGGGCCAGGAGCTGGGGGAGCAGGGCCAGGAAAGCCTGGAGGAGCCCAGAGGGATCTGGGCTGAGCTCAGCAGGTTGCCCACCCAGGGGAACTCGTGCCTCAGCATTTCTCTGGGCCGGATAAGCCTTCAGATAGCCAAACAAATGGGTATCTATTGGCTGGCAAATTCGCAGCCTGGATCTAATTTGGTTTCCACTGCCACAGTGACATGAGGTGTAAATTCCTTTTCCTTAATTCAAGGTACATATTGACATTTAATCATGCAAATATGTGCCTCCTTTGGCAATTCATTTCCCTCCGGCTTCTTTCAACAACTACCTCTTCTGGCCAGGGCCCTATAAAAGATGATTCTTTGACTGTTGCAAAGGAAATGAATGTCTCTTGCTCTCCCTCTCTTTTCTTTTGGTTGGTTGTTTTCCAGCAGGGTATATTTCAGTTTATGCTATGCAGATACCGATTGACAGGAATATTAGCTTTCACGCTTCTCTAGGTTTGCAAAGTCAGAACACGAAGCCATATCGGCTTCTCCCATCCCCTCCCTTCCCCCTTTCCCCAGCCCTTCCTGCACCCCCTGCCCTTCCACCCCAGGAATTGTGTTGGTTCTTCTGCCTTGTGGCTTCTGCCTTTCAAGGTGGTTCTTGGTTGTCCCATCATAACAGACAAGGTTTCCTTCTCAGCTAACTGCTGAGATCCCTTTTTATCCCCAGTGGTGGATCCTGCCTGGGTGCCATTGACTTGGTCCTGTTTGGGTGCTCTCACCTTCGGGTTCAGCCAGCAGTCTCTGAGCCATCACCATCCTCCTGCACCATGTCAATGCTGTCTTCCTCTCCGACCTCAGACCATCTTGGTCCAGTCACATGCTGGACCAAGAAGAGAAAAATGAGGATGCCAGGCCCTGCCTCCAAGGATATATGCTCTGTGCCCTTGGTCATCCAATTTTAGTGTAAAGGCTGAAGAGAATAGTGCAGTGGCATTGAAGCCAGCAGGCCAGATCATCACATGATAGTGGCCAACATCTCCTGCCCAGGGGAAGCAAAGAAACAAGAGTATTTTGGCATCAGCTCTTGAGTAAAGCTCCCTGAGACATTTCTAATGGTCCAGCTTGAGTTCCAGTCACGCTAAGAGAGCATCACTTCCAATTACTTTGAAATCACATTCTCGGTTTGAGGTTTTTTTGGTCTCTGGTAGCGCTCTCTAAAGGAAGAAAATGTGTCCCTGGCACGTCGCTGGCCACTCAGAGTTTACTTCAGTAGAAATAGGTTTCTTCTTCCCTTGTGCCTGCTGCAGGTTGGAAGGGGAGAAAATCAGCCTTCCACCCCTGCTGCATTAGGCAGCAGGCTCCAGTAGATACCTGGAGGGGGTGTATTACACAAATGGCAGCTATGTTTCCCCCATAGCTCTGCTTGGCTGGTGAAGGGTTGGCATAGCACACAAACGGTAGGGGTGCAAAGATCAGGCTGACGCAGATGGAGGGCAGAATCCAGCAGCAGTCAGAGAGCAGAGTGTGCGGGAGAGGCAGCAGTGGGACACAGCTATAGAACATGCGTGGTAGGCTGTATTCCTCCCAGGTGGACACGCACAGCAAGGTGTTACCCTGTTCAAATCAACAGCTATGGGCATGCAGGGGAAGGGAATTCATGCTGCCTGTCCAAAATGCTGCTCTCTGTGGAAAGCAGTGACCGGGGCAGATGGGCTTGGGTAACCATTGGGCCCTTCACCTTACTCCCACAAAGTCCAGGTCTTACATTTGGGCACTGTCAGGTCTCTGGAGCAGACCCACCTGGAACTGGCCAGCATCTGTTCTCAGGAAACGCCCTGAGCACAGTTGCTGGCAGTGAGGCTTGTGGCATCGCTTTAGTTTGAAAGCAGCCTGATGGGGACCAGTGGGTGAAGATGACTCTGTGTAAGGCGGCGGTTATGGGGAGGCCCTCTTGGGGTCACTTCAGGGCTGTCAATTTCCCCCTGTGACTTTTAACCATAAACAGTTAATAGTCATATAGTTAACAAATCCCATGTGAGGAATCAGACTGAAGAGCCTTCCGTGGGGCTGCTCCTTAGGCAGGGTGCTGTGGTGCTTTATGTGGCTGTTTTCAGACAGCGACAACGTTGCAGTGGCGGCGTGCTCCGTGTGGCCCATGCTCTCTATGTGCGCAGTGGCAGGCACACACAGCGTATACAGAGCGGGCTGCGGAGCTTCCTGCAGATCCCTGCTTCGCCCTACCCAGCCCAGCCGGGACAGGAGCAAAGCGACAAAGCAGGGATACGCAGCCGTGTGCGTCCTATAGCGTGTACCCCGCCGCCTGTGCATACATGCGCATACCCAGCGGGGTACCGGGGTGACACCGAGCGCGGGCGTCACCACCCATTTCCCCTCTCCCCTCCCCCCACAAACTCCTTGCTCCATTCACAAAACCGAGGGCGAACATGGCCGGAGTTTTTTTTTTTTTTGTGAATGGGAGGAGGCGGTGACGGCGCGCGCGCGCGCCCCTTCGCCCCGCCCCGCCCATTCATCCCGCGCCGCGGTTCCCGCGGCGCGGGATGAATGGGCGGGGCGGGGCGAAGGGGCGGGCGCGCGCGCGCTCGCCCGGCCCGCCGCTCCCCTCCCCCCCCCCCCTCCTCCCTCCCCCCCCTCCCCCTCCCCCCGGGGTAGTAAAGGCTCCGCCGTCCGCCGCGCGCGGGGGTGCGCGAGCGGCACCGGCAGCAGGGTTCCCTCCCCCTCCCTCCCTCCCCCCCCCCCTCCACCATCCCCTTCCCTCGCTGCCGGTCCCGGTCATTCCCCGCCATGGTGGCCACGGAAGGTCTGCGGGAGATGGAGGGCAGCGCGCTGCGGAGGCTGGTGTGCCGCGAAGAGGCCGGCGGCGGCGGCGGCAACGGGAGGTGCCTGGTGCTGGACTGCCGTCCGTTCCTGGCTCACAGCGCCGGGCACATCCGCGGCTCTCTGAACGTGCGGTGCAACACGATCGTTCGGCGCCGGTCGAAGGGGTCCGTGAGCCTGGAGCAGATCCTGCCGGCCGAGGGGGACGTGCGAGCGCGGCTGCGCGCGGGGCTCTACGCCGCCGTCGTGGTGTACGACGAGCGCAGCCCGCGCGCGGAGGCCCTGCGCGAGGACAGCACCGTGGCGCTCGTGGTGCGCGCGCTCCGCCGCGACACGGCGCGCGCCGACATCCGCCTCCTCGCAGGTACCGGCGGCGGCGGCGGCGGGGCTGGGTATCGTGATAGTGGGGGGGGGGGGGGGGGGGGGGTGGTCTCCGAGGTACCGTGAGCGGGTTGGGAGCGACCCCGAGAAGCGAACCCCCCCTTTGGAAGCGTGTGTGTGTGTGTGTGTATGGGATCCCCCTCCTTGCCTGAGCTCAGCCCCACGCTGCCGGTGCCCGTCTGCAGCGGGCAGAGCCATCCCCACATGCCTCCGTGTTTGCGACCGGAGCTTTGCCCCCGCCGCGCTCTCAGCGCCGGCATGTAGTGAATGAAGTGCCGCGGGTGGTGGTGAGAATTGCCGTGAGGCGGTTGAGGGGAGGGGACGCGCGGCTGGGGCTGCTGTGGGGGCTTTCTTCTTTGTTTATAGCCTGAGAGTTAATTTATCCCTTGGTTTACTTACAGCGGGGGTGAGGATGTGTATGCGGGGTAGCAAATCCATTAGGAGGGTTGATAGATGGGGGAGCTGGCGCTTGTGTTGTACTAGGCACAGTAAAACCAGCAGGAGCTGTTCCGCGGATGCGATACGATGCGCTGCTGCGGGAGCGCCGGCACAGCGAGGGCTGGCTCGGGTGCACGCTCTCTGGTCCTTCGCCATGAACCATCGCGGTGCTGGGAGCCGTGCGTGTGTTAGGAAACACTGGCGGTGCTTCAGGGGTGGCCTTTGACAGCTGAGGGCTTCTGGTGTCCCTGTGGCAGAGTGCTTGGGGTTTCCAGCCCTTTACTTTTGAGGAACGGGCTCCTAGAGACTCAGTCTTGGCGCAGGAGACTTCCTCCTTCCTTACCACGGAGCTGCTAAAATGGTTGGGCTTTCACAAGAGCCGTGCTAGCACAGCACTGTGCGGCTCCGAGTGCAGATGTATCGGGTGCAGGTCACAGCGAAGACCTGTGTGTGTTTTGTGTATATCAGACTGCGGCCAGGCTCCCTGTGAAAGTGCCCTGCTGGGTGCTGCTGGGCCATGGGCACCAGTGTGGCATGGTTCCTGTGTCAGGCAGGGTCCACATACACGGCCAGCAGCAGCAAACCGCTGCATGGAGCAGCTGGATGTGGTGCTTGCTTGGCCAAACAGGCATTAGAGCTGATAAGGGTACATTGAAGAGATACCCCTTTGTTTGAAAGGGTCGGTTTGCCTTTCCAAGGCAGAAGGTGTGCACACGTCACCCTAAGCAGCTCAGGATGGTGCGATGGCCACCTGAGTGGGATGTGTGTGATAGACCCAGGGATTTTGGGATCAGACCTCCTGAAGATAGACGTGTAGCAGGGGCACTTGGTTTTGGGTGCGCTTCCAAATTGAACCAGTGGGGCCACAAAAGGATGTCAGGTCCTGGAAGCAGAGCCTCTGCAAACTGTCCTGCTCCTGTGGGAGCGACAGTGCAAATTCAGGGATGCACACGCCTGTTCCCGCTTCAAGGTGCCAGAGCCTTTCCTTGTGTAGGGGGATGATACCAGGAAGGACACTGGGATACAGGCAGTGTCTGTCTCTAGTTGCTTAGGGATTCCTGGGCCGCTTTGCTGCGGACACTTACATCCACTGGTGGTGTGACTGTCTTGATCGGGGCAGTCTCAGAGCTGAGGCTGGGTAAGGAACGTGTCCTTGTGTGTGTGTGCTCTGGCAAGCCCAAATGCAGGCACAGGACCTGCAGTTAGGGTGAGCCTTCAGGAGCTATCCTGGGAATCAGGGCTTGGTCTAGCGAGATTCCTGTGGTGATAGTTCAATACCTGATTTCCGTTGGTTTTAAGGCTCAAGGTCAGGCTCCACAAGGATGCCAGGGGTTTTGATTCGATTTGAATGGGAGAAGGAAATCTCACCTGAAGTGTTTATTTGCAGCCAACACGGCAGTTTCTCTGGCCTGGGAAGCCAGTGGGGTTTGCTCTTGTTTTACCTGCTGTTAGGAAGACCTGAGGTCACCTTTGCTTATCCCCCTGGCAGCGGGTCAGGGAAGCAGCTGCTCTTTCACAGGGCACTTGCCTGTTCAGCTCACACCTGTGTCCTTGAGAGGCAATGGGCACCTCTCCGGAGAGCTGCTTTGCTGTGGGGTTAGCTTCAGTGTACCTGGCCAGCGCCAGGGCTCCCCTGACCCATTGTTTCTGGTGAGCTCGGGGCTGGAGGGTCAAGCTGGGAAAGCTGGAGACCTCCCTGTGCTTTGCAGCAGGATGATGCATCTGAGGAAGCTGGGAACCGAACAGTCCTTGGCATGGGAGCAGCTTTTCCCATTGAAGTGAGAGGATGCTTGCATCAAATCCCCTCTCCATCGTCTTTGATGGCTTTGGTTTGGGGTTTTGGCTAGCGGTGCGTAGGGGACTAAACCTGAGAACAGGGACTTTGAGGCAGCCAAGAGCATTGCAGAGTTCTTGGAGCTCTGGTTCCAAGGGAGTGGTGGGGCCTTAAGGATTCCCCCTGTGCTGCCAGGAGCCTACTTGCGCATCCTGGGGCAGGAGACCACTCTCCATCACTGCAGCATCATCTAGTGGCGAAGGGCATGGAGGGATGCGTCAGCTCCAGCTCCGGTGTTCTGCAGTGGGATAACGCTTTCTGCCTCTCTCCTTGCAGGGGGTTACGAGCGCTTCTCCTCGGAGTACCCCGAGTTCTGTGCAAAAACCAAGTCCCTGAGCAATGTGTCACCCCCCACCAGTGCCGAGACCCTGGATTTGGGCTGTAGTTCCTGTGGGACCCCCTTTCATGACCAGGTATGTCTAGAAGCCTGGTCCTGCTGGAGTTTCAATCTCTCCCTGATTCCAGCAGAGCCAGAGCCTGGCTTCCTTTCCTCTGTATGGTGGTCCTCCCGATCCCAGAGTGTTTGTGCTTCCTGGGGAACTGACAAGCCCAGATCCTATTAACCACGCTGGCCTGTTCCTGAACAGGATGGGGGGGGGGGGCAAAATGGGTTTAGCAGCCCAGAAGGGCAGCCTCTGCTCCCTCTTTCCAGGGCCTGGACCAGCTGCCAGGTTCCTGCGCTGCTCAGGGCCTCCAAGCCATCTGGACGTGTCTTGCCCACCGCTGTCCCCTGGTCACCCCCACAGCTGTTGTTTTCCTCTGTAACAGGGTGGCCCTGTGGAAATCCTTCCCTTCCTCTACCTTGGCAGCGCCTACCACGCTGCCCGGCGGGACATGCTCGATGCTCTGGGCATCACAGCCCTCCTGAACGTCTCCTCAGACTGCCCCAACCACTTCGAGGGGCTCTACCAGTACAAGTGTATCCCGGTGGAGGATAACCACAAAGCCGACATCAGCTCCTGGTTCATGGAGGCAATCGAGTACATCGGTGAGTGCTTGTGTCTGTGTGTGTTTCACTGGGAGGGAGGTTCCCGCCTCGAAGTCCTGGAGGGTCAGAGGGGCCTGGGGTCCAGCAGGTTCCAAGCCAGTTGTTGCTGTGGTGGGAGGGAGGTCAGCACCTCCTGCAGGTCTGGTGAGGGGTTGGGCTGTGTTGGAAGCGCCGTGGTCTCACCTCTCATGCCGTTGCCCTCCAGACTCAGTGAAGGAGTGCTGTGGCCGGGTCCTGGTCCACTGCCAGGCTGGTATCTCCCGCTCAGCCACTATCTGCCTGGCTTACCTGATGATGAAGAAGCGTGTCAAGCTGGAGGAGGCCTTCGAGTTCGTGAAGCAGCGCCGGAGCATCATCTCCCCTAACTTCAGCTTCATGGGGCAGCTGCTGCAGTTCGAGTCACAGGTGTTGGCCACCTCGTACACAGTGGAAGCCGTCAGCCCCTCTGGGAAGCTGCGGGAGCGGGGCAAGGCCACCTCCACACCCACCTCTCCGTTTGTCTTCAGCTTCCCAGTCTCGGTCGGTGTCCACGCCACCCCCAGCAGCCTCCCCTACCTGCACAGCCCCATCACCACGTCACCCAGCTGTTAGCTCAGGGGCTGAGGCCAGCCAGGCAGAGGGGGCTGGGCATGGAGTGGGGCAGGAGGGCATGGAGCCCTGTGATGCTAAAGCAATAGTGCTGGACACTGCCATTCACCCTGGACTCGATGTCTTCTTTTCGTAGGGAAATTTCTTACCTCATCTTGGTTTTTTTTGCTTTGTAATTTTATGTTTTGAAAGCATGAAAGTTGTAAAAGCCACAAGCCCTGACACCGTCCAGGCTCTTTGGGGAAGGAAAAGAATGGTATACTGGGTTTCCTCAAGTGCCTGGGCTTCATCTCTTTCCATCCCTATTTGATTGTCTTCTTTTTAAAAGAAAGATACAGCTCCCCTTCTCCCCATACTTCTGCCCCTAGCTCATCCGGGTTGAAAAGGGAGCACACCCTCTTTTGATTGTGCAGCTGTCTTCCCCCTTGCACAAAGAGACATGGGTGTGTGTGGTGGGTGCTGCTTACCTGAGCCAGTTACACTGGGTGAGGAGCAGAGCTGCAGGCACGGCCTTGGGGTGAGCAGGAGTGGTGGCACAGTGGCGGCTGCCTGCAGTCAGCCTCAGCCTTGCCAGTTGCTTATGGAAGTGATGCAGGAGCTGGGAGAGGCACCAGCTAAACCCATTCCTGTGGCTGGGAGGGGGTTAGGACAGGGAGATGCAGTCCTAAATGACTCTTTTCTTGCCTCTGTGGGTCCCTGGTTCCTACAAAACAGGTCCAATCTCCTGTGGCTTAGAGAAGAGAACGAAAGGGTGAGGGCAGCAGTCTGGGCTGCTTCTGATTACTCCCTCTGTTTCCTCCCCACCCATCCCACCGCTGCTCTTCCAAAAAAGGCAGGATGGGATGTGGGTGTAATGGAAGAGAGAAGCAGCCAGGTGGAAGAAAGGCTGGCCCAGAGACATCCATCCAGCATCTTCAATCTTCCTCCAGCCCTTCTCCACCTGAGCTGGGTGTTGTTCACCTGTACAACACTGCTGCAGCCTGCGGTCCAAGCCTGGAGAATGCCTCATCCTCAACCCACCTGGAGCCGTGTTTCCCCCCCGTCCCATCCAGCACATGAGATGCCCGTGTGGCTGATGTACATATGTATGGTTTGTTCCCTTTTTATTTTCTAGAAATTAACTTTTTATTTATTGCCTGAGGGAGGGAGAAAACAAACTGTTTGGAGAAAATAAAAATAAACCTGTTTTCAACAGTTGTGGCTGGAGCAGGTTTGTGCTAAAGCCAAGAGACAATGGCAGCTTCTACAGAGCAACTGTTAAAAATGTATTTATTGAATTTTAAACTAGTACAAGTATTGCAGATCAGACATTTAGCCAAGCACATTTATAGATCAAACTCGGTTGTTACAGAGATGTTACCTAAAGTCCACCGTGTGTAGGTAGGCTGAGAACCTGCCCATCGTCTTCTTTGAGAGAGAAGGTAAAGGAGGAAATAAATAAATGATAACCCAGTCCCAGGTAATTGGCAACCAAGAGAGGAAACACGCAGGGCTAGTTATGAAAACAAGTTATACAAAGAAAGGTCTAAAAACTCAACTCCCAGGTACACTGTCATCTAAGTTGGCAGAGAAAGCAACCGAAAGAAGATGCGCAAGCTCATGGGACTGCGGCGCAGAAACATCCCCACTTCAATGGCCAGAGCTGAAGCAAGTTCTGCAGCTGTTAAGGAGGAAGTGTCAGAACTACCATCTGATGCAGGGACTCTTAATGGTCTGTATTAGTAATTAACAGAACCAACACTAAAAATTGCCACCAACAGGATCAGTAGGACAGAAAAAGATGTATCGAAACCAGTCAGAGAATATGACCTGACAGGCATACGTGAGAGTGTAATGGGAAATGCATCTGTTTCTCACGTCCCCTGCTGGTTCCTGGGCTCGTTCACCTCGCTTCAGAAGTTGTAACATTTGCTGTCTCCTGGTCCTCTAGCTTTCACAGGTGGGAACACTGCCACTCCACCTCTGCTGCTCCCTGAAAGATGAGGAGAGCATGCTCTGGGCTGTGCCAAAGCCACCACCTCTGATCATCAATAGATTCAAGTCTATGGTGGCTCACAGGCCACTCACTACCCAAGGCTAGAATTGCATCTGTACTTACCTACATCTTCCCCAGCAGTGCTGCAGCATAGCTTAAAATGACTGAAGCGTGCATTAGACCTTCAGCTGAGAAAGACCAGCAGTGTTCCAACTAACCTGTTCTGTGTTTGCACCCTTCCTTTTACCCATCTTTCTGAATAATCTGGGTAATTTCTGTTAACAGTTCCATATGGAAATTCTAGGTGGTGCAAGTACTGTGCAGGAGCTTGGACTGCACTGCAGGGATGCAGGAGTTTCTCGTAAGAAGATCTGCCGCTGTCTTTAGTTCTGCAGGCCACGCAGTGGCACATGTTAGCATCCCTCAAGCGCATCTTGCATTCACAGTGAGCAGACATTTCCTCTAACCTACAAAAAACAGTAGGATCAGCTGGTTTCCAGAGCCAAGGAAGCACCCTTCTCCAGAAGCTACTCTGTCCCCTGTACCACATGCCTCTTGTGTGTCTGCTGCTCACCAAAGCCAGCAATGCAGAACATTTTGTGGGGCTTTCTTTTTGCCTAAGTAACTGTAGAGGTTAGGTTTGGGGTGCTCCTGTTATCAGTAAGCATGGTAATAAAGTTTGCAGGCAAAATAAATTCCTGCTGCATAATGCAATGGGATTCCATCACATGCAAACATTCAAAACGAAGGTTAGAAAAACACATTGCTCATTCCTTGGACTGCACACCAATAGTGACCGCAAAATGGTGGAAGTAGCACAAGAGGTTTGTAACAGTCTCTGTGGAGCTGGGATCAGAACAGAGTGGCAGATAAAAATAAGGGTGAGAAAATAAGATACAATAAGGTGTACTGTACTCTCTGCTTTTAATCCTAACAAGTTTTGTTGACAGCATTCAGACTGCTGTGTCACTCTGCACCATGTACCCGATTCATCTGTCTCATGGAAACAATGTCAGCAACGGAGAGCAGAACCCTCCATTCTTCGCTACGTGATGAAGTTTCTTTCTGTTTGCCTATTAAGGTCCTGACGTTTCAAAACGCTGCCTCAAAGGGACATGGGCAAAAATCAACAGGCCTGAGAGAGACAACTGTCCTTTTCCCAGCAGACACCACGCCCTGTCCCAGGGGGAACAGCTCTTTCTGGAGCCAAGTGAGAGGTGCCCAGGCTCCCAAACCTATGAGATGGCTTAGCCCAGAATGTTCTTGCATCCTCGGCTCCTCCTGTGCCTCCACTGGTGACTCAATGCTGCAAATGAGCAACTGGTGAGCAGGGGACTGCCCTTCCCAGGAAGTCAGAAAACCATTTCTCAGGAGACAGCAGCTGCCTGGTCACAGGGGCATGCCTTTTTTAAGGTCCCATTCTCTAGAATTAGGAAGCATCATGTTAACTCCCTTGGCTGAAGCAGCAGCATCTGTACCGTTAACAACCTGCCAAATGCAGCTCTACCACCAAAACCATCACCAGCTTTCTCACGGGTAACTTTGATACTGATGGGCAGATCCTCACTTTGTTTGAAACTGGAAGAGGAGCTACAACAACATACGCCAGGAGAGGCAGATGCTACTCCCGTACAGATTTCTATGACACACAGACGCACCATCAGGCCTAGGTATTCCTCTCTGTCTGGTCACGAACAGACAGGAGATCACATCATTACAAGACAAAAACCACTGCAAAACGATTTCCTCACACAGCACCTTTACTCTGCACGGAACATCAGGTACGTTAACACTGGCAGTTCAAAGATACTGGACAGTATTTTTATCCTCTAGAAGTTCAAGGCTGCAGAAGAAATCCAGACTAGCCATTAGTTCAATCAGCACACAGGAAACAACAAGCAAGAACGGAATCTGTGCGGGCTTGGTGGGGTTTTTCTGTTTTTAGGTTTGTTCGTGCTTTTGAAAGATGTAAAGCTGTTAACTTCCACACTGACATTAACCATTTTGCTCACCTAAGCAGCACAACTGTTTCACCATTTAAAACTATGTCTAACTGGGGATGGTGAGCAAACACGCACTCTCACTGCTATCTGAAACCCTAGCGTAGATAGGCACATCTCCCAACTCCGTTATTAGCTAAGTTAAAAACAAACCCCAAACTTTAATGATGAATACAAAGCTTCAAAGCCTAGTGGTGATCTCTGCAATCCTAACACTATTAAACAAGTAGCCAAAATACAAGCACCCAATTTCATCAATGAAATTTGATTAAAAGGACAACTAGGCTAGAGCCTGCCTTGGACTTCAAAGCTACATATTTAATTAGGTCACAAAATGAAGCGAGAACCATAGATCCACTGCCAGCTTAAGAAAAGTAAACCCCAAAGTTCAAGGATTTGTTGGAATATTGCTACTTCTAAGGTTTTCTCTAAAGAGAATTACAAACAGATGATGTGCAGGTAGCCATATTGCACTAAATGACTGGTTTTACAGTGGGTGAAGCTCCTCTGCGAGGACAGCTTGCTTCAGCATTAATGTCTTCATGCTAAAACTGAAACTGCGTGTCTTAATGCTGAAAGTGAAAAGCTCTTCAGGTTTAAGTCTGTTTTATCCAAACACGTCTGCAAACTCCCACTTACGGGGAGCACATCCATTTTTACAAACGAAAAGCATGCTATTCTGCCGTTTCCTTGCTTTAAGGGGGATGACACCTAAATGCATGAACTGGACCATCAGATACTCAATGGTGCTGGTTGACAGGAAAACATACGGCACGTTGTGTTCCAAGGAACGTCTTTTTCTCCAGTCGTTACATGCTCAACACTGAAGCACATCTCTTGGTATTGGTTGGTAAGAAAACAAAACGAACACGGCTCGGTTTTCAGCCTTCTCTGAAGCTGTTAAACCAACAATAACAAAAAAATCTGTTTCTACTGCTGTTAAATGCATATCCTCCATGAGGGGGACTTCTGAAACTGTTTGATGCTGTGCTATGCAATGCTTAAAAATAACTTTCTCTTACCCAGTGAAATAAACCTGGGAACTCGCGGGGAAGGGGATTCGAGTGAATAAATCCTAGCTTTGTTCTCTGGTATACCTGCAAAGAAAGCCACTTGCCCACTGGTGTTTTAAAAGTTCATTCTCATCAAAATGTAAAATCGATATTTAAAAAAATTACTATTTTTTGTAAATCCTTTAAACTCTTCAACTGTGATGTCACACGCAAAGGTGTGACACAAA